AAAGCAACAAGTTCATCGTGACTTAGGATCTCAGAGCCGCCACAGCCAAAAGATGTTGTTCTGTGTTTCTGAGGTGGTGAAAAGTGGTCGCGTATGGCAGCAGGGTCACAAGAGGTGTCTTTGCAGCCAGATGGGGTGAGCACCCACCAGGGAGAAGCAGCGCCTGCCCCATCTGCACCCCTGAACCTCACTGACATGTAGTAGTACCCGTATGTCTGTACTCACCATGGGTACGAAATGCTCACCATGAAACTCACCATGAAATGCCTTAATGGGTCCACGCTGATGGTAAAATGTGACTGCTCTCCTTTGCCTCCTCAGGTTTGGCTGAGGAAGGGTGACACTGGGAGCTGCACCCTTCAGGCTTCCTCCCGGTGGCTGGTAGGACCCTTTCACTGTGCAGTGGAGGGGCTGGAGCTGGGGAGTCTCCTGGGGGTCCCTGGGAGGCAGGCAGGTGGATCTGCCCGGCTGCTCAGCTCTGGGCCATTCCCGCTCTCTTTCTGCTCACCCCTGCCCAGACAAATTGGAAACCCACCATCGCTGTCTGCACCAGATGCTCGAGTTGGTGATGACGGGAGCCGGGGGCATGGCGACAATTCCAACAGCAGAAACCACAAACTGGTGTGGGCACCAAGGGGAGTTAAGTCATAAAGGGCAAACCTCCATCAGAGAGCAGCAGGGAGGTGATATACAGCTCTGGGAAGGGTTTTGATCTTTTCGTCTCATGCAGGGGGCACAGAGTGTTATTGGTTCTGCCTCTCACATCTTCCCTGTGAAGTATCACTCCAGAAGGGACAGTGTTAACAAGTACGGTGGAAGAGACTGCTCTGTAAGCTGAGCTACACGGTCACATGCACGGGTTTTATTTTTAACATCCCAAAACTACTTGATGTTTCTGCCTGGGCTTGCTCCGTGTCCTCCCATTCTCTCCTCTTCCCTTGCCTGCAGTTCTCCTTTACCCACCTCACTTGAACTCAGCTGAGCACAACCAGGAGAGCAAGTGTTTGGTACACACACAGGGACTCTATGATTAAGGTAAGGCTTTGTAAATAGAGTTGGAGTCTTTATTGGTCAAACCTTATGCAATCCAATGATTACTGCATCGAGCTATGAAAATCAAGACGTCTTCAAAACAGCCTTAGTAATTAAGATGAAGTAGAATAATCAGACACAAGATGTCTTAAATGACACCCTAAAACAGAGGCAGCTGGTAACTCTGAACGCTTCTGTGACATGCGATTCTAAAAAAAAAAAAAACCTCCATAATATATTCAGTGGATTAGCCATAGTTTGCAGCACTGTATCTGGGGTTTTAAAAAACTAAGATGCTGATTCTGAGATGGGAGCTTCAGTAGCAGGACAGAAGATAAATCAAAAATTCAATTCCTGTAATTTTCAAGAAATTCTGAGAGAAGTAAGACAAGGATATATAGTAAGGGCCAGAGGAGAGGCCAGAACACTCTTCTGGCAAAAATGCTAAGACTTAAAATCTGGTGAGTTTTGTAGATTCAGACTGCAAACTGTATGTTTGTAGGCCAGACTGAATAATAAGATGATGAAGTAAGAATCACAAGTGTTAGAGGTACTGCTGTGCCATTTAGAGTTGTGGCTGCTTAGCAATTTTTATTCAGGAATCTTTTCTCTTTTGTTTTTATGACTTAGACCTTGACCAATAGCTCTGAAATTCTCTATGCGGGGCATCTGCCTTGGGCTGGGTTTCTTTTGTTTTGCTAAAAACCATTCACTTGATTATCTCAAGACGCTTTCAGAAAAGTATGTTAATGAGATTGTTACCAGGGTATAAAATAGAACCTGAGCCCAAAATAAAAAAACAGAGTTTGGACTGTTTTTTTTTTTTTCTCAAACTGCAACTGAACTGGAACCTGTTATTTTAAAGCACTTGCTGAACTCAAACCAAAACCAAACCCATTTCCCAGTTACTGATGCAAAGTGAGAGTTTGCCTGACTGTGTCTCTACCAAGGACAGCACGGGGACCCCTCACATGCACAAGGAGCAGCAGAGCTGCTCCATGCCACAGCCTCCCCCTTCTCCCTGTCCTGCCTGTCTCCCACACAACTCCCCAACATGCCCAGCACACGACCGTGCTGCAGGGCTGCCCTGCACCATACCACCAGCCCAGGGGACCACTTTCAGCATCTGGAATTTTGGGGTGGATTTGTCTCAGGTGAGCTATGGCTACGTTGCACCAGGTAGGGAGGATGAAGACATATTGCTGGTCCAGGTCTCACGGGGGGGAGTGCAGTGTGGGGGTTCTACCAGCAATGCCCTGTGTTACCCGTGCCTCACTGCTCTGAACTCTCTCCTCCTCCTCCCATAACAGCACCAGTGTGGGCAGAAATTGCACTAGCAAGTTTCGGTGCCTCTTTACTGTGTGCATGCAGCACAGATTTACCAGACGAGGGGGAGACCTGATGGTGCAACAGCTTCTCCTGAGCTCCATGGTCTTGCATGCCAGGTTTAGGGAGCTGAAGAGAAGCTGATGTGCTGCTGTGGGAGCTTGACAAGCACGTGTGCTCTGAAACAAAGCAAGGAATATGCCTGACTAATGCACTGTACTCTGTCCCTGTCATTTTAAAGCTTTTTTTTTTTTCCCAGTATAAAGCAATTCCAACCTGTTCAGTAATTCTGAACTAGTGGTTATTGCCATGGAACACCACAGGCTCAAACAGCTGATCCCCAGCTAGAAAATACAGGGAGTAGCTCCCTAACTGTCACAGCCTCACCCTTCCCTCTTTGGGCTTATCTAACAGGTCAGTTGTCTCATGAAAAACCTTTTCACTCTGCATGTATTATACTGGCGATTTGAGATTCACCAGAAGGATTGTCCCGGAATCAAAGTGCCCCTATAAAACCCATGTGGACTTGTTCAAAGTCTGAGCCTCAAAGAAACTATGTCTTGCCCATGCTTGCTAGAAATTTATTAGTGCTATTGATGAAGACTTCATCTATACCTTTTATACTCCCTTTCCACCTACCTGGGCTGTACCATATTCACTGCCTGACTCATTTAAAGCTTGGCTGGCAACACATATATGCAAGGTCAGTCTGAATGGCAACTGCAGAGCAGGCGTGCCACGAAGAACAGTGACCTGCTACACCTAACGCCAAGGCGGTTGCTCAAGCTGTAGCTGTCCCTGCTGTGGGTGTCAAAATGTGGGGCTTGACTCACTTAGGGGTCACCGTGATTCCAGGTGGTGGCATTTTTGGGTTTGCTTTTTATTTTGTATTGAAGGACAGGACTTTAGAAAAATGTGGTACAGTATGGTTTTTCCAATGGTATAGTGTTTTCTTCCTCAGCTACAAGAAATAAACACATCTGTGTAGCAAAAGGAGACCCAAGCCTGATTTCTTGCTGGGATTGTTAAGTACATAATGATTGAGGAAGAATGCTGCATGAAAAGAGACGAAAAACTCTAGTTGAAGGAGACTTAGATGCTCTCCTAGAAAATGGGATTCTACAGTTGGTTCTGCCAGGGTTTTTGTGCAGGAGGCATGCAACTGCAAGTGAAACATCAGAACCTGAGCATCTCCATGCTTGGTGTGTGTATATATATTTTTATTTATATAAAATAGTATATTAAATTCTGTTTCTTTTCATCTTTCTATACTCTAATTCTACATCTGCCAAATAGAAGAAATAGTATCTTTTAAACTCAAGTGCACCTCCAGTACTGCAAAGACAAATTCATTATTGGTTGTGAAGCCCCTCAGATACTAAGATAGTAAATATATCGAAAAACCCTGTAAGGAAATTAAGAACTCTGTGTTCACCTCAGGATTTAAGTATTATGATAAAAATGAGATAATCACCACATGCTGGGTAACAAGGATTAAAAGAAATAGAGAATATCTCCTATCTGCCCTATACACTTCACCAAAAGTATTCACATTCCTTGAAAATATTTTTCTGTTTTAACATTATATATAACTTTAACATTCTTGGCTCCAGCATTCGGATCCAAACTTTCCTGAGATGTTTTTAAGAGCTCCTTATCACATTGTAGATGTTAGAAAGATTGTTGTATGTTCATTTGCAATCTCATCTCAGAGGCACTCTTTAAGGTAATTATCTGGGGTTTCTGATGGCCCTTTTTGATGGTTCTTTAAAATGGGAGGCATCCCTTGATTCTGATTCTGTGAGAAGAGCTCAGATATGATGTATAACCTTAGTATATCATATGATCAGTCACATATAGCTAATACCAAATAAGAAAACAGTTGTATTGTTTTTGCTCATTGACTGCAACTGAACTAAATCTATATTTACTGAAAATAAATTGTAATTTGTTTATAAACTGGAAGTTATTGTCACCGAACAAATCTGCTCCAGACACAAACATATCTGCAGTTGAAATAGCAGCTGTATATTTTTAAGCCTTACTTGATTTGCTGTCATGACAGTCTAAAAATAAAGATTAACCAAAGTGGACAGACTGTGGACTGTAATTTGCATCCTTTCTTTCCACACTTGAACATGATTCAAGTGAGCATTTCTATTTTGATTTTTTTTCTAACCCAGCTCTTAGGAAATTTTGCAAGTTGCAGGGAAACAAGAAGTGTACAGGTTTAGAGAAAAGTTTCATCACCTGACATGATGTGTGAGGTGTGTCACCTGCCTCTGGATGTCATGTATCAAACTTACTGAGGCAAGAATTTGTAAACTTTCTGCTCAGAGTTTTGAAAGTTGTAGTTTGTGTACTGACAATAATACCATCAAATAAACAAGAGAGTTAACTAGATCATCAGTTAAAATACAGAGCTCCTGATTACCAGCATGTCAGAATAGAAGAAGCATTCAAACCCTGATAAATATCAGAAAAATTCTCTATCCCTTCTTCCTGTCCTCTAGCTTCATAGATATGACAATGAGATGAGAAGAGAGGCATAGAAATCATTTGTCTGAAAAGAACAGCATATACAAGTTAGAGATGAGGTAAACTCAACTAAAAAATACCTGAATAACAATGAAGACTGATTCTGGATCTGAATGCTCTGATGTGGTCACTTTTCATAAACAAAGCATGTATTTTCTTTCTCTACACGTATTCAGATGGGGTTCATTTCAGCATACAGCAGCATGAAAGCAGGCTCCTCTCCAGAAACTTTGCAATCAGTCCTTTCTGTGTTTTGGAGAACTGATGTATTTTTATTTATCAATTATTTCTCTCCCAGAGTTACTTTTGCAGTGGAAAGTATTGTTCACACATTCATGTTTTTATTGCGATGTAATGTACCCAGCCTTCCTCTGACCTTATGCAAGTCATAGCTGGGACTATTTTTAGAGATTATATTTGCAGCAAAATGTTACAAGAATGAGAGCAGCAAGGATGCTGCCAATGTGAAATAAATCCGTCTCTATCTCCTGCTTCTCTGAGCCACATGAAAGTAGATGTAACTAAACAGCCTAAAGCAGGACAGATGTCACCCTAAACCACATGTATTTAAGGGCTGGATGTGTCTAGGGCCACCCTGGCGAGCACCCTGGTGTCACCCCTGTGCAGAATCCGGTGCTTCCCAAGACAAGGCAGGGAATAGTATTTTTCTGTATTGCTGTCTCAAGCTCTTTACATGCAAACAAAGGTGAAGGTACCTGAACCTTATACTTCAGAGTGTAAGTTTGTCCCTGGGTAAAGGGACCACCAAGGACTCCTTTACTCTGCAGGACTGAGAGGGAATGGGGTTGATTCATTAGGAGGTGTAAACAGGCATTGGTCAGCATTGGAAGTTGCAAAGGATGGAATGAAGATGTCTTGAGCAATTAATGCACATCGAATTCGAACACGAGTGTGTGGTATTTAGTGACTGCAGGAACCCACATGCACTGCCTTTCCCAGACATCTTTCCTTCTCTGGCATTGTTCGTGACTTGCATTGCCAGGGTGTGAAAGTGTGAAAGATGAGAAGTTAGTACCTTCAGGAAACAGAGGGGAAGCAGCTTCAGGTGGCATCTCTTCCCCTTGAGCCTGAGCCTACTTCCTCGGCAGCACAGCTCTCCTCAGGGCTAGGTCAATTAAGTCTGGGGTTGCAAAAGCACTCACATCTAGGGAAGTGACACTACTGTATTGTCTTTAACCTTAGAAAAAAAAAACAAAGTCTAAACTATTTTACTAACAATGTCTATTTTTTCCCAGAGCCAAATGGGAGACTGCTGGGCTTGTGGTAGACCCTACTGCATAGAAAGTGTGGTGGGAAGACTTGTCAAAAATCTTTTTCTCATTTTCACAAAAAAAAAAAAAAGTGCCCTGGGTGCTGTTTGGAAACAGAACTCCAGTTCCTCCTTATCATTAGCTTTTTCCCATCCACAAAGATTCACAGTCGGCTAAACCAAGCTGGAATGCAGCTCCTACAGCAAGGAGCGGAGAGCCAGAAGTCAGGACTTGTCTACTTGCAGCAGCTCTTCTTTGGGCCAAGTTACTGATACCAGTTGAAGCTATCCAGGGAAGTAGCTCCAAATAGTGACTGAGCAGCCTCTAGTTCTCTAATCCCACAGCTTTGTATGAGGGGAAAGGACCACAGGAGATCCTACATATTCCCCCTAAACAGCATCTCTTATGGACATTGTTGAAGAAGACTGCTGGGCTGGGTGGACCACTGGTCTGACCCAGAATGTCATTTCTTATGTTCTTAGATTATTTACAACAGAAGGCATGCCTCGTGCCATCTCCATTTACTTGCTGTTGGATTTTGTGCTTCTGTTTTCCCATTTTTGGGAAGGTTTAGCAGCTATTGCCAGGAATTATTGCAAGGGTAGAGATATTATGAGTAAGGGGTACTAAGAACTTTTGGAAGCAGGCCTCATAAGTGCATTATTTCTGCATTAAGCTGATTTAATTGACTTACTGGGAAAGAACAAAAAATGCAATAATGAAACCAAAGCCAATGGTTCATTGTGACACAAAGCTAGTAATCTGGTAGTGATAACTTTTTATATAAGGATCTTCATACATCATGTTCTTGTACTTGCACTTTTTGTTGTTGGACCTCAGGAAAATTGTATGTCCTTTTTATATCAAAGGTTTTTAAGGGGAGGAGAGGAAAAAATTATATATATTTTGAAACAGCATTAATATAGAAGTGTGGGAACGGAAATGCAGTCTTCCTTAAGAAAACATTTAACCTGTTTATATAATAAAGTTGGTTGAAATTCTGAAACATTTGGTTTGGCAATCTCAACTTGTTCTCTTAATCCAGTCTGTCAGTGGCAAAACATTAAATTCATGGAGCTGCCTGGTGGCAGCTGAATTTATGAAACAGAGACTGGTATTGTTCATTACTTGTTGCCTGGGACCTCTTTCTCTATTTTCTGGCCCCCTGTGGTGTCACTAACACCTTCATAAACTGAATCTAAAATATGATCAGCTCAGGATCACCTGTTCATTCCGTATAGTGTTTGACATTGACTTGTCAGAAGTACGTAGGGTTAACTGAAAAAACAGAGCAGTAGTGACTGGTTTTTGTAGGATCATGCTCTAAAATCTCAAAGGAAGAAAATGGTTTCTTTCTCAGAGACACCCTATAAAAGGCATGCTCAGGCTGACTTCTCCCCTGCACCCTCACAGGAAGGGAAAAGCTGTTGAGGTTTGACCTTTGTTGCTCCCCTTCTGCCCTAACTGCACACTGTGGTGCTAAGCAGAGCATGAGGTAAACCATACCTGCCCTCTTCTCCTCCTTCCTAGCTACTCGTCATTCACTGGTGACAGCAAGGGGAAGAAAGGTGAAAGGCAGTTTGTAAAACAAAGGGAAAGAAAATTTATTTAACTGGGTGAGTATAACCTTGCAACAAGCCTCCACTGCACTCTGGAGCTTCTCTCCAAAACGCGGACTGAGGCATCACCTTATTCCAGGTTTTGACACCTGAAAGTAGATGTGGCAAATAACCAGCCTGAAGGAAATTCCCCCACAGTCTCTGTTCCATGACATGCAGGCATCATCTAAGACTGTAAGAGTAAATCAGGAAAGCCTTTACCCAGGCTGGTTTCCACACTGGGAACCGGGAGCATGAAGATAATCCTCACTCTCAGCCTTGCTGGTGTAGAGCAAAGGGAGGTTCCTTTGTGCAACATTCATGTCTTTATGAGAGGATGACAAGGCACATAGGCCAAATGACCAGCTAATTTTTCTAGAGAGGAAAAAGAAATGTCATGTTTCCTACTCAAACAGCATTGAAGAAGTGGGCAGCTCCCTCACTGTGCCTCTGGCAGTCTTGAGTTCAGCAGCTTAATATAGATAGACCCAGTGTAAATACTGGGACAGAAAACAGCTCGCTCCCAAACCGTGGCTGCCTCCGCTGGGCTAACGAGTAAGGACCTTATCTATATCCGTGCTGCTATCAGGCCACGGTGTACTGTGGGGATCAGTGCTGATACGTGACTGTATGGAGCTGGCAGTCATTTGCCCACAGCCTTACTCCCGCTAGAACTGCATGTGAGCACGTAACACGTAGAAACCAGCCATGGGCACAGAGGGTCTGTGGTCATCCTTGCTGCTTCGGGCAATAACTTTTGTCTTCTTGTCTTTGCTACACACAGCACCAGGCTCAGAAAGCTCCCCCTGGGCAGCACAGGCACTGTGAGAGATGTTTCAGCCGGCATTGCCGCGCACCAGTTGAGCCCTCCATCTCCTGCATGGTGATCAGCTGCCGCTTTCACTGCGGGGCCACCTTCCACATGTGCAAGGAGGAGGAGCACCAATTACTCTGCCCCTTAGAGCAGGTCTCCTGCCTCAACTCAGCCTACGGCTGCCCTTTTTCCATGGCCCGCTTTAAGCTGGCGAAGCACCTCCAGGTCTGTCCAGCCAGTGTTGTCTGCTGCTCGATGGAGTGGAATCGCTGGCCAAACGTGGATTCAGACACAACCCTCCACAAGAACATTATGAAGGAGACCTTGAACGAAGAGTGTCTGGACACAGCCTTGGCTCTCAGAGACCAGAAGATACTTTTCAGGACTTTGAAAATAGCCAACTTTTTTCCAGAGTGGAGGAAAGAGGATGAAGTGGAAGAGCTAATGGAGGAAGCCATGGGTGGGGAAGAAGGTGCTGTGGGAGGAGTAGCCTGTGCTTCCCAAGACAGTGACGACCAGTTGTCCGAGCTCAGCCAACGTGAGCGTGAAGATTTGGCAAAGGACAAAGAAGGAATGGATCTGGGGAGTTACGAAACCTGGGAGAACATTTTCAGCAAAGAGCTCCTGGCTTGCAAGGTAACAGGCTCAGCAGCCAGCACAGGACAAAAGACGGAGGAGGCTTCCAAGAAAACAGCGTCAGCCCCTCATGCTGCCAGCTCCACAGAGAAGGCAAAGGAAGTACCTGACGGTGCAGAAGAGGCAAAGGACCAAAATCCTGAACAAGTAACACCAAATACAGAAATGACAGGACTGGCTCCCTGGCAAGAAGGGGTCCTGGAGAGGCTGAAGAAGGAAGTTGGTGTAGGTGATTACAACATGTATCTGGTACATCATGGTGGAATGCTCATCCGCTTTGGCCAGCTAGCTGCTTGCACTCCCAAAGAAAAAGACTTTGTCTATGGGAACTTGGAAGCTCAGGAGGTGAAGACTGTCTACACCTTCAAAGTGCCAGTTAGTTACTGTGGCAAAAGAGCACGACTAGGAGATGCACTGGGCCACAAGGTACCAACTTCAGACAAGTCAGTGGATACCTCAGAACTGGGAATAAACCTAGAAGAACTACCTAAGGCAAATATAGTTAAAGCCACACTGCTGTGTGCACTGGAAAAAGAGCTGAAAGGCCATGAGATCTCCGAAGCAAGGGGTATCGATGGACTCTTTATGGATTTTGCAACACAGACATACAGCTTTCCTCTGGAGTCCTTCTCCTCCACTGCTGTTCTAGCAGATATTCTGGATGAAAAAAGCCCACCAGAACTCCACGTGGAGCTCTACACTGAATCTGTAACCAGAAGACACAACAAAAGCAGTTCAGCTTTCACATTCACTTGCAGTCATTTCTTCAGGAGGGACGAGTTCCCATCCCACTTCAAGAATGTGCACGCTGATATCCAGTCATGTCTGGATGGATGGTTCCAGCATCGCTGCCCACTGGCCTACTTGGGATGCACTTTTGTTCAAAATCACTTCCGCCCTGATGGACTTAAGGCCAAGGTTATATACAGCAAGCCTCTCAAGACATTTGCTATTAAACCAGAGGTGAACACCCTCCTTGCTGAATCAGGGAAGTGCAATTCCACAGTGGCTAATCGAGGGAGAAATAAGGACTTGCTGAGCAGCCTCCCAGTGGAAGTGCTCAAGTACATTGCAGGGTTCCTGGACAGCTTCAGTTTATCTCAGCTATCGCAAGTGTCAGTGCTGATGAGGGACATCTGTGCCACTCTTCTTCAAGAGAGAGGAATGGTCCTGCTGGTCTGGGAGAAAAAAAGATATTCCCATGGCGGTACTTCGTGGAAAGCTCGCAAAAAGGCAAGTGACTGTGACACTGGGAAAAAGACAGCCATGGGTTCTCTCCAGATAAAACACAAGCATAGCAAGGGATGCTGCATATAAGCATGCAGATGTGGGCAAGGTTCGTGAGGTTGTAATTTCCACCACAATTGTCACGGGTCGGGGCTGTAAAATGTAGTACATCTAGCAAAGGTAGGAAGGTGTAAATGGACATCTTCTGACTAGCTGAAAGTCCCCACCCAAGCTTGTCTTGGGTAACCTATTTGCATGTGCACTGTTTTTAGGCACTGGGAACTGAGAATTCCTGATATTTAAAGGTTACACATGGATTTTTTAAGAACTTGAAGTTCATACTTTTTTTTGTTCTTTAGAAGCCAATCTAGGGTATGTCAAAACTAAAACATGCTTTAGAATGCCAAAAAGGTAAAGAACAAGGAGACGTGGCTGTGAAAGGAGCTCAGGTGTTTGCATCAACCCCCGAGGGCTTTCATGATTAGTAGTTCACAAGACTGCCATGAGTGTCTGACTCACTGGGTTGTGAGCACCTGAGGGAGCAGCACGGGAATAGGAAGCCTTCTGCAAAGCTGGTCTCCCACTGTTTCTGTTGGAAAATTACCACCCTATTGGCTGTTTAGGTAGTCTGAAATAAGTATGTAAACATAGCTCAGTCTAAGTCCTAGTTGAACAATAGTTATTACAGGTTTTTTTCTAGCTGATAGCCTTGCAGCTGGTCTAACATGAAACATTTTGAAAGAATAACATGAGAGACTCCAGCATGACCAAGCAGACAAGACAGAGATCTAGGAACAAATAATTCAGAGACCCAGGGAAGACTCCCAGAAATTATCTAAGGACCTGGTTTTCAAGCAGACCCCTGAAGATCTCCACCTACTGATTCTTATCAAATGGAAGCTTAGCAGTTTATGACTCTTTATTAAGAGAAACCATGAAGCGTGGTGAATTCAAAATCTGTGTACTGAAGTTTGGTGGCTGCAAGTTGAATTAGCCCAATCCAAAACAGGAATTAGCCACTGAAATAATTTACTGGAGGATGTGGCTTCCTTCAGTAAAAGGAAGAAATTCCAGCTGAGCAATCATATAGCAATTAACTTCAGTTATTATAGAGCAATTTCAAACCACCAGCACTGAATTTAAAGACTGTCTAACCCTTTTCATGTTAGCTTTCTGTACTGACCACACAGGAATCTTGTTTCCCACGCACAGACTCTGCTTGAAAACATTCTGTTTGTAATTAGTCTGAATTTCTTGACTAGTGTGTATAATAGCTATGATTACTTAGGACTAGGACAGGGTCGGGTAATATTAAGCGTAGCACATCCACATACTGTCCTTCTTCCACAGGAAGAAACATTTTTAGGGAGAAGAAATCTACTATGACTTTAAAAATTCATTTGATTTAATGGTATACTGCAAATATTAAAGTGACTTAATCACACTCTTATCACTACATGCTAGTATATCACGAAACGGTACATGGTATTACTGCAAACAGAAAATTTTAACTGCACGTTTCTATTTTTTACAAGCTTGTATCTCCCCTAGGAATAACTTTAACCTTAGATTTCCCAGGCTTGTTCTGGGGTGGAGTGAATAACAACAGTGTTGTAACGTTCATTACTTTGAAGTTGCTGATAGATGCTTTGGAAGGTCTTTATGAAGTCAGGTTCCTTTGAGATACATATCACACAAGCATTCTGTAGTCACTCTGCTTTATAAATATCTTGGATGCAGCTATAAACATCTTGGATCACACCATACATGCGATGGAGTTTTCTGTAGAGGTGCGGTGATCAGGTGTTCTGGATTTCCTCATGCCCTGCACCGGATTGGCACAAAAACTGTAGAAGGATACTTTCCTGTTTAAAATGGCAGGTGATGACTAAAGCAGCAAAACCAGCAAGTACGAGGTACCTAACAACACAGATGCCATTTTTACTTGTTATGCCAGCCCTGCACAATCAGATGTTCACTTGCCTGTCCAGCACGATCAATGCACACCCACTATAAGCATATCTAGATCTTTAAAATTCTCTTTTATTTTTACTAACATTCCCGTTTTTTCTCCCCAATTTGTCTCCCTGTCCCTGTACTAGATCTGGCAGTTCAGCAGTCTGTTCTCCAGAGTTAACAAGTGGCAGCGCAACGACGTCGCGTGCATGTCGGAGCACCTGAAGAACTGTCCCTTCTACCAAGTGGAGCACAAGACGGACCCCGTGCTGCTGACAGGCATGTGCGAATCTCGAGAGCAGACTAGAAAGACTTTGGTTTCTACTTTCAAGCGCAGAGTCTGAACAACCTGCTTCCCCTCTGCCACGCTCCTTTCAGGGCCCTTCAAAAGAAGACTTGGGAATTTGGGTGTAAAGATTGTTGCTTCCAACTCTCCTTTGGACGTACAATACTGGCTTCTCCCCAGTTGTGTTTGGAACCTCCTGCATCTTTTTTTTTTTTCCTGCATTAATTTAATTGTTAAAACTTCATCCACTGCTCACTGATATCATGTGCTTTCTGTTTATGTTTCTGTTCCTTGCTTAATACAGCATCCTGGAGAAAGCAGTAAGGATCTTGTTTCAAACAGCATCTTTGCAACCTTGAAGATAGGCTGCTGTGCCTGTACCATGTCCCTGAGAGAAGCAAGAGCAGTTAATGTACCTAGCTCGACTAGGTCTGAAACACCTTCGTTTTGGCTGGAAAGCCAAGTTCAGGGAGCACAGGCAAATGTCCTCCTGCCCAGCAGACCTGGGGATTGCTAACCTGTTCTGAGATGTGGGCAAAAGAAAAGTGAATTAATCAGGAGTCAGGAATGCACTGCACAGCCACAGACCATCATTTAGGGCCCCGATTCAGGCAAGCATGCCTGGTTAGCACAGCATTTGAGCTCAAGCCTAAAGCTGAGCTCATGGGAACATTCAAACCAAACCAAACCAAACAAACTTGCTCTTTGTTAGAAATAACCAAATAGCAAAAAGTTTTAGGGGGTTCAACTGACTTTTCATATTTTTCAGTTAGTAACTTTCTCTGTTTTATTTAAAAATCCATTAAAGCCATCAAAAATATTTTAAGGCATTCTTAGAAAGCCTTATCTACTCAGTTTTGCAATTGTAAACTTCAAATTGTAATTTTAAGCAATTGTAAACAATTTGTCAAAGAAAGATCTTATTTTTTTCTGTAAAAGAAAAGGCATTCAGTAACCCATTCAGTAACAGTACAGATAATGTTTGCTTCAGTTAAATGGGCTGGAGTATAAGAATTTTTTCTTTTTTACAGAGCAGAAGAGTGATTAGGGTTTAGTTGATTTTTTAATAAATACACTAATTTAAAAATAGAATGTGCTTGTTGAGGCAGCAGATGAGAGAAAGCAGGCATGTCAACAACAGTGTCTGTCTTATGACGCTACTTAAACCCATTTCAGAGGCACTAGTTAGAAATGCCATAGTTGTGGTGGTGGGTGGGATTCCTCTGAAATGGCCATAAACTGATTTGACAGCTTCCAGCTGCTGCACAGCCACAGCGGTGCCAAATCACACCCCTTTCTTTTTTAAGCTCATAGTCAGAAGTGCGAGCTCAGGACATGAGGTCTGGCTTTCATCTCACCATCTCAGGCAGGAGGACCTTGCCAGGAGCTGGGACGTCTGCTGGCCTGGACCACTGCTCTCCTCACCTGGGCTGGCCAGATGAAAACCGGCCCAGGTGGATGGACACAACCTACACTTGCCATCCCCAGTCTCGATGCAGATCTGGGGTGAGGTAGGCTATGCAAGAAGGAGCCCTCTCCTAACGATAAAGGTTGCTGATGAACCTGAGCTGAGCACTTGGTAATCAAAGGCATGAATTGTATGGTGACTGAAACCATGATGAGTGCAGCTTGTTGTTGTCTACACTTGCAGCTTAAGTGGTCCCTGTGAGATTTATAACCATACAAGGATGTTTTTCTTCTCCAGACATGCACCCTCAGGAGCATATCGTCTGAGTTGTGGGGACAGTGGACTGGTCCCAGGAGCAGGAGTAGCAGCAGTTACAGATTTATTTATTTTTTAAAGCTATTCTGTTTCCTGTCCCTAGAGATCCTTTCTGGGAAGTTTCATAATGCTTTACACATGAGAATAAATTTGTCTGCACAGGTGTCCTGTGGAAAACATGACAAGTAGTGTCCCAGTTTTATGCAGAGGAAACTGAAGCAAATGAATACAGGGAACCTAAGCTGGGTCAGGAGCAGTTAAAGCTGGGTGCTCTGATCCTTCACCCTGTGGCTTAAGCCACTGTGCAAAACCAAACTGGCCATCCTTTAAAGTCGCTTACAAAAACTCCCTGTCCTCAAAACATCCCATATAACATAGGTCACCCAATATTATCACTCTGTTTTACACAGGAAAGTTGACAGAGGTGAGAATGAGGTTCACAGAGAGGGGAATGATAAGGTCTCAGGGTAAGTCAGTGTTCAAGGCTGGAATAAGAGACCATGAAAAAGTTAGTTCAACCTGTGAACCATCTCTCACCTGATCAGGCACTTAGCTGCTGTAAACTGGTGTAGCTGCCCTGAAATTGTGGCTTATGCTAGGTATGATTTGGCTTGTTTTACCTTTAGTGCCGGTGTCACCGGCACCACTGCTATTCCGCTTCTGGCCTCCTTCTGTCGATGCCAGAGGATTTTGTTCTTGTATCTCCCTGCTCCTGGAGATTGCATGACTTCAGTTCCAGCCTTATTACCACTGATCCTGCTTCTTCCCTGTGCAGGAGGTGCCCGAGTCAGACTGCAGGGAGGACCCAACCTTTGCAAATGTGGCAGTTCAGGGCGCGGGTCAGAGATAGGAATGTCGCAACCTCTACCTCTGGGGATCAGCTGGGGTGTATATTCAACGTCTAGGAGACTGGATCATTTTCCTTCTGGTACTGCTATAGGGTAGGCTGGAGAGACACAGGCTGTTAACTCACAGAGAGAGAAAGAGACAAATTTGCCCCTGTCAATATATATGCATACTTCTGTAAACTGCAAATTTGGTTAAGTAACATTCAGCATATACAGTAGAAGGAGAAAATCTACAGTCATCTTCAGGTTAGTCTGGTTAACCCGACCCTGCAATAGGGAAAGTTGTACAGGGAAGTGGAGATCACCCTCATACCGGTGCGTACCCACCTGGCAAATGCCGGCTGGTATCCACTTCTTACTTTATCTCACACTTAACACCAGTGGAGAGCTGTGGGCTGGTGTCAGATGCAGTTTAATTAATCAGAGGATGTATGCCAAGCTAGCTCAGTGTTGATGGTCCTGCTCATTAGCAGAGTCAGCAGAAGCTTTGGAGAGCTTCAAGGAACCGAATTTGCATGCACTGTTCATCTTGATGAGGACAATGCCAGCTTAGTTAAAAGGCAAGAGGCT